TTGTCTCATATAGTTTAGCGGATCAAAACAGAACACGCCTTGTACCTAGCCAAAAAGTCCCTGTAAAACTAAGGCAATCCTCCGCTCTTAAGCCTTAAGGAATTCAGTTAGAAATTATACATTTCCACACAAAAAAATGATATCAAAAAATATGGGAAAAATAAATTTTGTTTACACCTTCATGTTTTGCTTTAAAAATTATAATAAATGGAGAGAAGTTGTAGATATTTCTAGTCCTTTTTGAATTTCAAACCAAATAAGCACTAGTGAATTGAAGCTCCTTTGGTTTCCCATCTTCTCTTACTAGCAATGCGAAAATTAAAATTTCAACCTTTCACTCGTTATCACAACTTTCACATCTTATTTACCAAGTTTACTTCAAGCGAGGTCCGAAGTTAAAATTCAAAATTGGGAGATATACCACTTTTTTCAAAGCAAGAACGAGCCGAACTTCTAATCATAAATATAGAAAAATTTACTGACTCAAAATATCCACACGCAAACATAAAAACTATTTTAGGTCCATGAAAATAGATTTGGTTACGACTGAATGCCAGTGGGTATAACGCCTAATAGTATAATCAATCAATAATGCTAACCCTTATTTACCATATTACAATGCAAATAGGCTACTTGTGGGACTGCCTCTGTAATTCCCAAAATCATTTTAAATAATTATTCAAATATATTCAGAAAATTTAAATTAAAATAACCAAATGACTTATATAGAAATTAATAGAAGGTGGGGCAAACTTCTTCCAGTGATGAGGGTCACAAATACTTGAAAGTAACCTTTTAACTGCCAGTCAGGTAACTCGAAGGGGCCTTCCCCAGTGACACAAAATTAACGATAAAGAAAAACTTAAAGAGCAAACATTGACAGTGGTGGTCAAAGTCAAGAGGAAATGATAAACAGGATAATTGATGGTATGGAAGATGCATGGAAGTTAAATGAATTACCTATCGGGTTATGTCAAATCCTAAGGAAAGGATACACTTATATGGTTGCATTGAAAAAAAAATTCAACCATATTCGACTAACTATCACTTAGATGTGACAAACACCTAGTAAAGCTCTATAATGTTTGTTTATACCATCAAGTCTTCCTTGTGTAATGTCAGATACAGCATGATAATTTGTAATGATCTATTAATCTTTTAGAAATAGTCTTATTGGTCATCTGTACTAACTGATTCAATAATTAGAGAGAACATCTGCCAAGGCCTCAAAATTGATGTCAAATCCATTTCAACAGATTTCAATCTTCAAATAAGCAAATATAAGACTCTAGCTCTTCCAAAGAATCTTCCAAAGGCTATGTCTATTCTCCAAAATCCATGAAGATCGAAATCGTATAGCTCTTATAACAAAATTTATAAGATTTAATCCATCTCATAAATATTTCAAAACACTCAACCATTGGCCACCCCAAAAGTAGATCAAAGCTAGTGTGTATTGCACTGATTTTCTTCAATATTTGTTGTTGATGTCAAATGGGCATTGGTGTATCTAGTAAAACATGAGGTGGAACATCCTTTCCCTTTCTTGAACTAGTCAATGGTTTATTTATTCCTCTGCAATCCCAGAATATATTGAAAATTTCTCCACTTCAAAACTATTCAATATTGAACTGATTAGTGTGCTATTGATCCTGTGGAAGGATCAAATGCCATTGGAAACCCATTTACACCAGCTACTTTGACAGTTTGACTGAACTTGGTAACATCTCCACGCATTGATCACATTAAATTACTGCAGAAAAATTGTATCTAATATTAGCACTTGGAATAATATAATCTTACCGAGACACAGAAATAAAGCACACAGGAGACTCCTAACCCAACTACACAGCCACCTAATATCTCGGATCTTCGTAATCCAGCTAATTGTATGGGGAACGCCTAAAAAATGTTCCTGCTTCGGGGTACAGTAACATGTAGGATTGACCAAATAAGTTTCTTTCCATTAACAACAGTCAAACATATTTTAGGCAAGTGTAGCATACGAAATTTATTTCCACAATATAGTGGAGGCAAGGACAAAATGCTAAAACAGAAAACAAATATCACGATCAAGTTGTAACTCAATACTAAAAACCAAGTAAATCTTATCCAAAATCAAGAACCAGAATGCTCATTATAAAATGGAACAGAGAAAACCAAGCAGATAGTTCAATACAAGAAGATGCAATTATAAAAAGGCCTTTATTATGCATTTTCAGTCTAAACCAAAGCATAGCTTTAGTGATTCCTCACTAAGAAAAGATAACCTATCAAGATTTAAGAATACACTGTCACCGCAACTATAATGATTCCCCATTCTCATGTCTCCAAAATTCTTTCAACGCCAAAGGGTGAATGAATCGCTAACTAGGATACTGTCATATTGCCTCACAAAGATAATGACCATAGAGGCTAGAGCAAAAATAACCACATGAGGAAATTACTTACTCCAACACTAGAAGAATGATTAATAGTATTGTAAGAGCGAGAAGAAGGGCCTGGTTATCATTAGTACTCTGCTCTGTATTTTCTCTCCTTCCTAGTGTTTTTTCTCTAACTGGCAATAGTTATTTATCTGGCTGGTATCATACTTCATATTAAAGAAAGGCTAGGCAAGTACAATTCCATTTTCTAGCTTCCGTTTCTGTTGTACTAACCGGTAGTTTTCGCGTACACGCCATTGATAACACTATTGATCCTAACGAACACAAAAAAGAAAAGAAAAATAATATCGAATATCCGACATTCAAATTCAAGCACTGAGGCTCCAAAAACAGAGAAAAACAACATAAATTAGGTTTCAAGCAAGTTCCAAATTGAAATTACAGGAGAGGATTTAAACCCTAAATAAGAAGCGGAAAGGTAAAAGCATAGTAAGGTTGAGAGAAGACTCGCGAGTTAGTGGTGAAGAGAAAGTAAAGAGCGAAACCCTAGAGTGGAGCTTGTGATTGTGCTATGTCTAAGCTGCCAGAGAAAGGACATGAGCTTCGCTTGGCTTCTCTTTCCTCTGCAAATATATGCGGGATTTGAATTTTATTTATCTATTTTTACTTTCTCACCTTTGATTTTTTTTTTTGGTTTAATCCTTTCGGGTATCTCTATTTGTGTAGGGTTGTCTCAAATAGTATTTATTTTTATCTCAACTAGGTCCTTTTTTTTGTAAAATTGACTCAATTTTAACCTTGCCGTTAAATTTAGTGGACGGCGTTAAAATTTGTGTGACTCTACTTGCTGACTGTGCAATTTTTAATGATGTGGCATAGTGTGGTGGAATTTTTATTGACGTGTGGAGTGTCCCGTTTGGATCCTATTACCTTTCTTCCAAAAGCGGATCGTTCTCCTCCTCATCATCCTTCTTCCCTAAAAACTCAGACTGGAGCTGACTTGATTTCATAACCCGACTTGATTTTCTCTCTACGGTGTCGAGTGTTTGGGAGACGACGGAACCGGGACAGCCAAGGTTATGGCTGCAAGGACGGAATGAGAGGATTTCCTTTGAATTCCTTAAATTAGGGATTTCAATCTTCCAATTTAGGGATTTCAATCTTGAGCGATTTTCACAGCATCAGAAGAAGCACCAGAGAGCCTTCTCTTCATGAACCCCACAGCATAAAGTCCAGCATACCCCAAAAGCCTTTCTGGTCTGACAATCTTCTGTGATGAAAAAAAAAACATTTTTTTAAAAAAGATCTAGAACATATTCTCACCAATAAGGCACGTTACTGTAGTAACCGGTTGCCAGCACCACTGCATCGACATAGAGCTTTTCACCATTGACAAGCTCAACTTCTCCACTATTGAACCTCTTAACTCTTGGCACCACTTTTATATCACCGGATCTAATCTTCGTCAAGGCACCAAGATCCAAAACCGGGGTCTTTCCCTTTGTGTTCTTCAGCTCCAAAGGACCCGTCGAAGGCCTTTTCAGCCCCAACTTGTCCATGTTCCCAAAAACAAACCATGCCAACAACAAGATAATCTTCTTTGGGCAACCACCACAGCATGCCACGACTCAATAAATTTAACGCCGTCTATTGAAATTAACGGCAGGGTTCCAATTGACTCAATTTTACAAAAATAGGGACCTACTTGAGCTAAAAATAAATACGAGGACCTATTTGAGACAACCCTACACAAATAGGGATTTCTGAAAGGATTAAACTTTTTTTTTTATCTATTCTCACTCTATTGAATATACTGTACCACTAGTGTGGACCATTTTCTTTCAGAAATGCAGTTTAAAATTGGACGAAACTTAAAAGGAGTAATTTAAGTGTGTTTTATTTTACTATTATCCAGTTACACTTCAATTATTATTTTGGTAATTTTTGTAATAAAAGACTTTTCTAAAATGTTATCACATTATATTTGTCTCAAACCATAAATTTCAATGGAGAGCAGCATAACATATAACATGTATCTATTTTCTTTTTTTAAGAAAAAGGCATATATCTAATTTTCTCCTTAAATTTTTCATTTAGAAAAAGATTTAAATTTATTAATTAAAATGTATTGAAAGTTACAAAATATAATGTATCTCAAACTTATTTACTTAATCTCTTTTCTGGGTTTTATATTTTTTTAAAATTTAATTAATAAAAGAGATATTCTACTTTTGTTGCTTTTTCCACTACTTTTTTTCTATTCACTTCCATCTAAATACCCTTTGAAAAAAAAATGTCTTTTTTAATTTTATGCATTTTATCAACTTGGTTTCTCGTGTTTCGAATAAATAAATAAGTTTCTAGATTTTTAAAACTATATATATTTACGTTATTTATACTTCAACTTAATATTTAATAAAAAATTAAATTAAATTAAACATTTACTAAATTCTTTTTTTTTATGTTTTGATTTAATCCGTCTATTTTAACGTGTGAAAAAAATTCAAATACATAAATAAAAATACAGTTTTATCCAAAATAATTTGTTGATTGTGTATTATTTTTTAGAAAATTTGCAATTACATATATTATGTCGGACATTAACATTTAATTATGAGGCATTCGGTACATGTGTATTATATTAGTAATAGTTTAATATCAATTTTGGTCCATTTGTTAGTTGTGTTTATAGTGATTTTATGATTTTTGAGTTATATATTAGAAAAACGATTCAAGTAGGTCATTTTTGTTTATGGGGCATAATTGTCACCTTAGTCAAAAGTGAATGAGCTTTCTAGTTACTCATTGTGTGGCAAGCTCATTTTTGTTCATTAATCAATGTTTGTTCTGTTTAATGTTACAGATGAAGGTGCAGTGGAAACCTGAACATGAAACACAGATACAAAGAAATTTCCACATGAAAGCATCTCATCGGCTGTCAGAGATGTTTAGGGATGCCCGCATTGCAGGAGAGCTCCCTTACTGGTTGGGCAAGCAAATTTGGAACTCTTTACTAGCTAATTGGAATTCAGTAGAGTTTCGCAATAAGTGTGCCAAAGCCCAGAGGAACAGGGCTTCTAAAAAGGGTGGCACCCTGCATACTGGTGGGTCGATCACGATTCATGAGCATGCCATTCGTATGGTAAACTTTCATTACTTTTCTGTTTCTTTCATATATAAGTTATGTATTTTCAATTTAATATGTACACTTGTAACTATAAATTATGTTACAGGCACAAGCTCTGGGACGGGCGGTCCATGTTGATAAGGTCTTTTCACAGACTCATGTTCGGAAGGGCACTAATGAATTCGTTGATGAAAGATCTCAGAAGACTCATGTAAGAAAATAAGACTATTACTATTAGTAATTTTTCATTTATGTTATTCTATCATTCCCTAACATTGCTTTTAATGTTTGAACAAGAAGAATTTTCTACGAGACTTTCACAAGTTAGATCTGAACATGTGTCAGCTCCTACACCGGATGATGCGAGTAATGGAGAAGACGACATCCGTAGGACACAGTGCTGGGTCGACATCGTTGGTGGGAAAAAAAGGGACGAGTGTACGGTGCAGGACAACTTGCTGCAAACTATACAGCATCGAGAGGAGGTACTCTGAAGCACCAACCTTCTTCTTCCACCATTACTGCTGACGAGGTCGTTGATCATGAGAGTGTTGCCTGAAACTTCACAGGATCAATTCAATATCCCTCCGACCCAGCCACGACCCTCCCCGTCACCCGCTGTCCCTCAACAGCCCACATCAGTCCAACCCTCATCAGTCCACCCGACATCAGTCCAACCCACACCAGTCCAACCATCTACAGAGGAGCAGGATGATGAAGATCATTCTGATGATAACTATGTACATTATTAGTTTTATTTTGTTATTAGTTGTTATAGAAACATTTGGATATTAGAACATTTGGAGTTTAGATCATTTGGATCTTAGATCAATTAGATGATTTGGATGTTAGAACATCATTATGTTACATTGTTTTATGTTTTATTTATAAATACATGTTCTATGGATGATTGGATGATTCATATGTTATATTGTCATTCTGATTAATGATTGCATCATTGAGATGCACATTATGCAGGTTTGTATGTTGTTGGAAAATGTTATGTAGGTCTGTTTGTGTTGTGAACAATTTATACAAGTTTGTTTGGTTTAATAAGAAATACAATTGTGCCTTGGATCTGCCTCGAACTTACCGAAGGCTTATGCCCTTCGGTAATTACCCACGTTAGGTAATTAACGAGGGCTTCCGCCCTTCGGTAATTACCGAAGGCTTGTGTCCTTCGGTAATTACCGAAGGCTTGTACCCTTCGGTAATTACCGAAGGGCGGAAGCTCTCGGTAAATCTTAGAGACAAGTGATTTACCGAGGACTCTTTGGCCGTCGATGAGCCGTCTGTAATTACCTTGTACCGACGGTTTTCGGCTGTTTCCGAGGGCTTTTGGCCTTCGGTAATGCCCTTTTTTGTAGTGTTATCATGTCATCTTTCATATATTTTTTTACGACTGTGACCGTGTAAAAAATAAACAAATTAATAAAAACTAAGATTATTTGGATCGAGAAAAAGAAAGAAAAGAAAAAGCAAAATGTTTGTAATTTTATTTTATTAATATAATAAAATAATTTTTGTATATTAATATATTTGAAAATTAATTTGTTTAATTATAAATTATAATTAAAACAAATTCAAGTAAAAAATTATAACAAAATTTAATAAATAAAATTTTATATTTCAATATAAAAATATTTTAAAATAAATTAATTTAATAAATATTAAAATTTAAATTAGTTGATTAAATTTACTTATATTTTACTATTTTTATATTTAATTATTTATCATAATAAAAATTTAATTATTAATAATTGATTAAATATTTTATTTGTTTTATTATGTTATTAATGTTTATTTTAAGTTTAATTTTATTATGTTATTAATTTATAGATTTTGTGGTATGAAAATAGTATAAATAACAAGCCGGGCAGTTGGCTAATAAAAATAAGTAAACAAATTCAAATGAACATTAATTTCATATTCATATTGTTAGAAAATGATAAAAAGTAATATTTATGAATATTAATGTCTAAAGGTTTTAAGAGTTTTGTAGATCATGTTTACTAGAATGAGTGTAACATCCCAAAAATTACAGTAATAAACCATACATTAGAAATAATTACAATTGGTAATATATCAGTTCAGTCTTATACTAATCAAAAGTAACTACACAAGATTAAGGGAAACATGACCGAACGGCTTACAAAAGTCAAGGTACCGATCAGTCAGATAACAAAAGGAGAAGGAAGTGACCGAACGGTCACTTCATACAAAACTACTATCTACAAACTGAACGTCCTACGGTTCGGCCTTTACTTCAACTTCTACGAGGTTATCATCTTCCAAATTGTCTTCTTCCAGCGCCTCTTCCAGTAGCGCGCTTCCATCTGCTCACATCCACACGGATGATCATTGCAATAACAAGACGGACGTACAAGGACAAGACAACACAAGGAAATACACAGGGTAAGCTTATGTAATTTAATTCATGCTTCAACATATAAGTTAAACAATTTAACACACAAGAGAAATTCAACATATGTATCACACAAAGCCTATTACTAGACTGACTGTCCGGACTGTATGAAATCTGCGTAGCTACAGGCGTTCGTGCACCCGGGTGGTGTAGTAACTCGAATGCTCTCATCAGCTGCCACCCGAGGTTAGTCCTATTCATCCAAAGTACCCCTAAGGACGGGACCTCCTGCCGTTTCCACACATGACCTACCCTCCTCTATGTGAGGACGAGTACCCATGAAACATCAGGATGAACAGCCAGCATTAGCATGCCCACAGTCATACTTTACCAATTCCAATATTCATACATGAGTCGTTCCTCCCCGGAACACTCGTCCAAATTCCATAACATCTCAAATTCACATTTCATTCATCATTTGTAATTAAACATCTCGGTGATCTTATCTCTTACAACGATTTCAACAAACGTTAAAAGGACGAACGTTCAACCCAAACTTAAAACTGGGCAGAACACATAGAGCGAGACCGGGGATCTTCAAAGTTGAGAATAGTTTGAGACCAAGGGTTGACATTGGATTTTAAGGAAGATAGCAAGCAAAATAAGATATTCCAAGGACAAATGGGACGAACGTACATTTCAAGTTGAGTCAATTTAAATCAACTGACTCTTGAGAACACCCTCAGACAATAAAAGACTAAACCAAGGACGTGGACTCTAGGGTGAAACCAATGAATAGGAATATTCCAAAACACGAAGGTTAATACTTAGAATTGTCTCATATGAAGAAACCGAACGTTTTTGAATGCTTAGTTTAATTGGGTTTAATACTGGACACTACAGTGAGCGACCCTAGAGGGTCTGAATGAACGCTCATATCAAGAAATTTAATTTAAAGAGATAGGACGAGTGCCTGGTGTACGACCAAACACTACTCAGCACGAGCGCTTGGTGTAAGACCGAGCACTAATAAATTTATAATAAAAGGTTTAATAAATATAATACGATACTATTGATGTAGTGATTACGAACAACAAAATATACAATTACTTATATACTTAGATTTATAACCGAACGGCAATACCCAACTGTGTTTGGCCGAACGCTCATACACAGTACTCCGAAGTGCGGACGTTCGTCCTCAACTAGAATCCTTCCCAAATGAAATAATCCACTACCAATTCAATTTCACTAGAAAACCGAACGGTCGAGGACCGTCCAGCAACGTACGTACACACTCATAAGGGGAATTTCTTATCATAGTCAATATTATTAAATTTCAGTTCTTAACATATAGTCTCACCCATCTACATTCATACCATATTCAATTTATCATATCTTATATCATCAAATCACAGAAATCTCATACATTTCATGCATCATAACATAACACCATCAATTTTCATATCCAACTCAATTCAACGAACGTTCATGCAACACATAGTCATATGAATTAAATTAATAAGCTTCCCTTACCTGGATTCGTGAGTGAACGTCCTAAACGTAGGTTCTTGGTTCGTCCAACTACAACTTCTACCCTCAAGATTACTTAACTCTTCCAAACAGTTTCAGAATCTAGAGCTGTTCGGTTCAGAATGAAGCTCACGACGCCGGGAACGCTTCTATGGTTTCTGAATGATGATCGGAGAAGAGAAAGATGAGTTACGGTAGAGAGAAGGGAGGGTTTTCTAGAGAGAAGAAGGAGAAAATGAAAGATCAGATTTTTGGAAGAAGAAGGGTGCATGCAGAGAGAGTGGGAAGAATGTGTCAGAAAAATCATTTTTCTTCGCACATAAAACGAGCGTCCGCTCTTCTGCTAACACCTGCATCCCACTATCTGATTTCAGATCCTTGTTTCGTGACACCTGACGTCCTCGAAAAGGGTTTTGGGTGCGTTTTTAATGACTGACAAGAGGGGTTTTGGGTGCACATTTACGAGGTCTGACAATGAGGAGAGAATGTAATTTAGATGTGGTTGAAAATAAATAAATTATGTTAGATATTACTGTTATTACATAAAACAATTATTATAAAAAAATAAAATAAGATACATCAAATTTATGAAAAATTATATCGTTCACATAAATAAAATATTTATTATAAAAAAATTAAGTAAAAATGAATGGATATTAGTAAACTAGTGATTTCTTTCACAAAATCATTTCGTATTTTTAACTTTACTTATCGAGAGAAATAATAGATTTCTCTACATGGTTATGTGTTTGTTTATTATTGTTATCATCATTTTTATAATTCTCATCTTTTTTGTTATCAAATCTATGTGAAACATGTATATTAATAACATTGCATGAATTTGGATTTTATGCAAAATGTAGTGTCTATTACGATAATATGATCCAATTGTTAATATTATATTGTCTAGTACATCTCACCAAACTTAATTTCCATAATTTTTCTAACATGTGTGTTCATGTAGTTGAAAGATCCATAGATGATTTTTTTTTCTTCAGATTTATTCACATACTATATCTTATTTAATGCATTATGAGACCATGTTTAATGCATTAAATTCAATTCTAAATCTAAATTAATCTTAATTAAATTATTGTAACATCCCCCAACAAATCATTTTTATTACAAAAAAAAAATTAATCTAAATCATTTTGTTAATCAAGTGGATTGTTGCTTCGTTTACTTTTACTTGCCTCCTTTTATATATTGATTAGTGTTTTCAATTTTATATTTCTTCAATCATCTCGAATAAAAACAATTATTAATTATGACTTCCCAAGTATGCATGCTGGCATAGTATATTCATCTCATAAGAAAGCACTTGCAGATCAAACACCTCTATAAAATATAATTCTTTGGTTCAGTAGTGAGACTTAAAAGATATTAGATAATATTCTATTCATTTTTAGAAACATCTCTATCCTTCACTAATCTCATCACTATACTTCTATAAACTATGAAGTGTCCCGATATTCATAAATTTAACTTTTAATCATTGATTATCCATAAATAATTTACCTTATTAACTTTTATAACCATTGATGTTGTAAGAAATTTCTTTTTAATTTTTTATACATAAACTTAATTCCCTTGTGTCTCTTTGTTAAATAGGATATTATTAGTTATTCCATAAATTTAATTTTATAAAAACTGAATAATGGGACGAAAGTATATTTTTAAGTAAATCGATCTATTTTATAAAATAAGTAATATATACATATATATTGTTTTTGTTTGTTTAATCCAACATGGGCATAAACAAAATAAGGAAAGTTTATAATTTTGTGTGTTTTGGCCATGTGGCTAACCTCCACCGACAGTGATGTATTTGTGAGTGTGACTGTATAAGTTAACTTTGAAAATAGTCCTGTATCCCCCTCCCGCCATGGATCGCCTTCATTCCAGGGGAATCAGCAGCCCCTTCTTCACGTTACACTGACATTCAATGAACCATCATGTTTCCACGCCACACCTGGGTAAGAAAAATTACCTCTCCACACATGGAAACTAAAATTACTCTCCATCACTCAAAACAAAACAAAAACTCCCTTCCAATTATTACAGACTCCTAAAATTTATCCCAACCCACCATGAGAAAACCCACTAAACCCAACCCCACCTTCAACCCATTCNGTGTTTGGCCGAACGCTCATACACAGTACTCCGAAGTGCGGACGTTCGTCCTCAACTAGAATCCTTCCCAAATGAAATAATCCACTACCAATTCAATTTCACTAGAAAACCGAACGGTCGAGGACCGTCCAGCAACGTACGTACACACTCATAAGGGGAATTTCTTATCATAGTCAATATTATTAAATTTCAGTTCTTAACATATAGTCTCACCCATCTACATTCATACCATATTCAATTTATCATATCTTATATCATCAAATCACAGAAATCTCATACATTTCATGCATCATAACATAACACCATCAATTTTCATATCCAACTCAATTCAACGAACGTTCATGCAACACATAGTCATATGAATTAAATTAATAAGCTTCCCTTACCTGGATTCGTGAGTGAACGTCCTAAACGTAGGTTCTTGGTTCGTCCAACTACAACTTCTACCCTCAAGATTACTTAACTCTTCCAAACAGTTTCAGAATCTAGAGCTGTTCGGTTCAGAATGAAGCTCACGACGCCGGGAACGCTTCTATGGTTTCTGAATGATGATCGGAGAAGAGAAAGATGAGTTACGGTAGAGAGAAGGGAGGGTTTTCTAGAGAGAAGAAGGAGAAAATGAAAGATCAGATTTTTGGAAGAAGAAGGGTGCATGCAGAGAGAGTGGGAAGAATGTGTCAGAAAAATCATTTTTCTTCGCACATAAAACGAGCGTCCGCTCTTCTGCTAACACCTGCATCCCACTATCTGATTTCAGATCCTTGTTTCGTGACACCTGACGTCCTCGAAAAGGGTTTTGGGTGCGTTTTTAATGACTGACAAGAGGGGTTTTGGGTGCACATTTACGAGGTCTGACAATGAGGAGAGAATGTAATTTAGATGTGGTTGAAAATAAATAAATTATGTTAGATATTACTGTTATTACATAAAACAATTATTATAAAAAAATAAAATAAGATACATCAAATTTATGAAAAATTATATCGTTCACATAAATAAAATATTTATTATAAAAAAATTAAGTAAAAATGAATGGATATTAGTAAACTAGTGATTTCTTTCACAAAATCATTTCGTATTTTTAACTTTACTTATCGAGAGAAATAATAGATTTCTCTACATGGTTATGTGTTTGTTTATTATTGTTATCATCATTTTTATAATTCTCATCTTTTTTGTTATCAAATCTATGTGAAACATGTATATTAATAACATTGCATGAATTTGGATTTTATGCAAAATGTAGTGTCTATTACGATAATATGATCCAATTGTTAATATTATATTGTCTAGTACATCTCACCAAACTTAATTTCCATAATTTTTCTAACATGTGTGTTCATGTAGTTGAAAGATCCATAGATGATTTTTTTTTCTTCAGATTTATTCACATACTATATCTTATTTAATGCATTATGAGACCATGTTTAATGCATTAAATTCAATTCTAAATCTAAATTAATCTTAATTAAATTATTGTAACATCCCCCAACAAATCATTTTTATTACAAAAAAAAAATTAATCTAAATCATTTTGTTAATCAAGTGGATTGTTGCTTCGTTTACTTTTACTTGCCTCCTTTTATATATTGATTAGTGTTTTCAATTTTATATTTCTTCAATCATCTCGAATAAAAACAATTATTAATTATGACTTCCCAAGTATGCATGCTGGCATAGTATATTCATCTCATAAGAAAGCACTTGCAGATCAAACACCTCTATAAAATATAATTCTTTGGTTCAGTAGTGAGACTTAAAAGATATTAGATAATATTCTATTCATTTTTAGAAACATCTCTATCCTTCACTAATCTCATCACTATACTTCTATAAACTATGAAGTGTCCCGATATTCATAAATTTAACTTTTAATCATTGATTATCCATAAATAATTTACCTTATTAACTTTTATAACCATTGATGTTGTAAGAAATTTCTTTTTAATTTTTTATACATAAACTTAATTCCCTTGTGTCTCTTTGTTAAATAGGATATTATTAGTTATTCCATAAATTTAATTTTATAAAAACTGAATAATGGGACGAAAGTATATTTTTAAGTAAATCGATCTATTTTATAAAATAAGTAATATATACATATATATTGTTTTTGTTTGTTTAATCCAACATGGGCATAAACAAAATAAGGAAAGTTTATAATTTTGTGTGTTTTGGCCATGTGGCTAACCTCCACCGACAGTGATGTATTTGTGAGTGTGACTGTATAAGTTAACTTTGAAAATAGTCCTGTATCCCCCTCCCGCCATGGATCGCCTTCATTCCAGGGGAATCAGCAGCCCCTTCTTCACGTTACACTGACATTCAATGAACCATCATGTTTCCACGCCACACCTGGGTAAGAAAAATTACCTCTCCACACATGGAAACTAAAATTACTCTCCATCACTCAAAACAAAACAAAAACTCCCTTCCAATTATTACAGACTCCTAAAATTTATCCCAACCCACCATGAGAAAACCCACTAAACCCAACCCCACCTTCAACCCATTCTCAATCCTCAGATCCACCCTCCTCCTCCTCCTCCTCCTCTCCATGGCCTCCATCTTCTTCCTCTCCCTCTTCTTCTTCCTCAACCTCCACCCTCACTCCTCCGCCGTGGAGATTAACCGCGCCTGCAATGCAACGCGCTTCCCTCTCCAATGCCAAGCCTCTCTCGTCCCCAATCTCCTTACCAACCCCACCCCTCTCCAAATCATCCAATTCACCATCAGAGCCTCTTCCTCCAATCTCGTCACCGCGCGATCCATGCTGCACACCATCCGCGACGCCTCCCGAAACAACCGTACCCGCACTACCAACGTCAAAAACTGTCTCCGTGTCCTCCATTACTCCCGCTACCGCAACTACCTCGCCGCCGTCGCACTCCGCCGTGGCGCCACCAAGGATGCGCGCGCCTGGATGAGCGCCTCCCTCGGCTACCAGTACGGCTGCTGGAACGGCCTCAAGTACATCAACCACACGGCGCAGGTCGCCGAAACGATGACGTTCCTTAACTCTCTCGTCAACATTTCCAGCAACGCTCTCAGCATGATGGTCTCCTACGACCTCTTCGGAAACGACACAGCATTGTGGAGGCCGCCGATGACCGAGCGCGACGGCTTCTGGGAACCGTCCGGGACTCAGGGACTCGGGGCGGGACCCAAGATACCGGAGAAATTGACGTCGGACGCTGTGGTGTGTAAGGGTGGGGGGTGTTACCAGACGGTGCAGGAAGCGGTTAACGCTGCGCCGAATCATTCGGAAGAGAGATTTGTGATTTATATAAAGGAAGGGGTTTATGAGGAGAAGGTGAGGATTCCATTGAGGAAAAGGAATGTGGTGTTCTTGGGGGATGGCATGGGTAAGACGGTGATCACGGGATCTGCTAACGTGGGCCAGCTCGGTGTCACCACCTACAGCTCTGCCACCGTGGGTCAGTTTCTTTCTTTTGTGTCGTTAAGGTTTACATTCTTTTATTTATGTATGCTTTTTTCACCAAATCTTAATCGGAGTTTCGTGTTTTTTATATCAACTGCAATCTCACCTTACTTTTTAATCTACTCAATAAAAACTCGCCTTATAGATTGATATCAATCATTGATTCCAACTTTCAATTTTGACGGAAAAACAAAACTAAAAAGTTATTTAAAAGTTCTATATCCAAGTTTTGTAACACTTTTAATAAATAGAAATTCTGTTGCTTGGAAATTTAGCGATTTTTCAGTTGTTTATATAAAAATGTTGTTAGAGATGCAGTGAGGCTTGTTTACGGAATAACAAGAAAGACAACTTTTTAAACGAATAAGGAAATTTTACTCTTAATCTAGAGATGGGAGTACAGAACATAATTTAGACGCAATTTGTCAAGTACTTTTAGAATTTCTTTTGAATAAATTAGAATTTTTCTTTACTAATCTGTATAGTAATAAAAGTTTGTATTAAAAAAAATATAGATTATTGCTTTAAAACTCTTATCTGATTACAGAACATAAGGAACATTATCTATGTTAATGAGTAAATTATTTAATATGGCAGGGGTTGCGGGGGATGGATTTATGGCAAAGGATCTCACGATTCAGAACACGGCTGGTGCTGATGCTCACCAAGCAGTGGCCTTCAGATCAGACAGTGATCTTTCTGTCATTGAGAACTGTGAATTCATAGGCAACCAGGATACTCTCTATGCTCATTCCCTGCGCCAATTTTATAAATCTTGCCGCATACAAGGCAACGTGGACTTCATCTTTGGGAACTCGGCAGCAATCTTCCAAGACTGTGAAATCCTAGTACGGCCTCGCCAAGGCAGACCAGAAAAGGGTGAGAACAATGCTGTTACTGCACAAGGTAGGACAGACCCTGCTCAGTCAACAGGATTTGTTTTCCAGAACTGTTTGGTTAATGGTACGGAGGAATACATGGCATTGTATTATAGCAAACCTACAGCTCACATAAACTATCTGGGGAGGCCTTGGAAGGAGTATTCTAGAACAGTTTTCATCCATACATTCTTGGAAGCCCTTATCACACCAGAGGGATGGATGCCATGGACTGGGGATTTTGCTCTGAAAACGCTTTATTATGGGGAATTTGAGAACTCAGGACCCGGTTCTAATCTGAGTAAGAGGGTGCCTTGGAGTAACCAGGTCCCATCGGAGCACGTGTTCTCATATTCAGTGCAGAGTTTCATTCAAGGAGATGATTGGAATAATCATTTCAGTCTTTAGGTCGTCTTAAGAGTGACCACGGAATGGTGAATAGGAGGAGGAGCCGCGGAGTGATGAATATGAGGAGGGACCATTTTAGTAACTGGGGAATCTTTTAAGAACAGCCAGGACAATGAAGATGTCCAAAGAATTCAAATGCCATGTTATAGTGGTAGCAGATACCGAGAGTTGATACTCATTCCTACTCATTTTATTGTGTAGACCCAGGATTGAATATATTTATATTTTTTCTGCCTGGTGGTTTTCATAAAATTTTGAATTGATGAAGGACCACTAGTACATTCAAGAATTTTTCCCCTTCTGTGTAACTAGGCCAATGGGTTAGGGAAGGAAAACCCGTTATAGGCACAATGGTGATTATAACCTTTGATCTTTACCACATTAAAGTGCTTTTAGGAGGATAAGACCTCATCACTTGAAAGCTTTTCCATCACATTAGCTACATGAGAAAATGGAAATGATCAAAAGAAGTTAATTATTTGTTCGATTTTACGCAGTCCCAATATTCACATTAAGGTCATGGACTAGCTAACGTCAAAGTGCTTGCACTTAAATGTTGTAACCAGTGTCCATAGACCACTTGGTACCCTAAGAACCAACTTTGCTTGCATATCATGTGAAATTTTTAATGTTATAGTTAGATCTACCTGCCGACATGATCTACATTTTAATGGAGTTGGACAAATCTAACAGGCAGCCACATTCGCCGAAAGGCCTTATGACGTGTTGAAAGCAATTCACTTGTCCACCTTTCGTTGACTGGTACGATGACTAG